AATAAAGCCATAGAGTTAATGTTGATCTTTTTGTCATCTTCTATGTCCATAAAACCATAAATAATGTCATATCCTATGGTCCAAAAACAACAGGCGATATACATAATCACTGATTCTATGGATATTTTGTCAATTATAGAACTATTGCTAATTAATACTCCCAAATTAAATGTTAAGCCTAAAAATATTTGAGGAAAGCGAGTAATTCTTTTCATTAATGGATATAAAACAATCATAATAAAAGCAAGAAACCCTAAATAAATTGCTGTTGTATTTAATAATAATAAAATCACTAAAGCAGAAGCTAATAACATTATTAACAAAATTACTGCATCTTTAATGCTTAGGAAGTTATTAGCCAATGGTCTGTCTTTAGTCCGTAATACATCTTTGTCAAAGTCTCGATCAAAAATATCATTAATAATACAGCCAGCGCTTCTTGCAATAACGCTGCCGATAAAAAACAATATTAACAATTTTATCAAATCATATATTGCTGGTTTAGCAAGAAATATACCAAAGCATGTTGGAAAAAATACTAGTAAATAGCCTGTAGGAGCTTGCAACCTCATTAAACGAATACTTAACATAATTTTATTTATCATAGATCTACTTACGTGAATTGATTTTTTGTTTATAGCTATTAGTGTTTGGTATTTTTGTGATATAGTAAAATATAAAAATGTTTAACCACTGAAAAAGAAAAGAATATACAATAATAGATGTATTATGGAATGTACTTTGTGAGTGAAAGAGCATTAGACAAGATTAGTGATATTTATCTCAACACATAACATAAAAAGAGAGGTCTATAAACTTTAAGCATGAGCTATGTTTGAAATAAAATGAGATTCTTTAATACCAAGAGTATGTAATGCATTATGCCACTTATTCTCTGGATGATCAGCAAAAATAAATTCTTTATTACATTCGGTTACTATCCAAAAATTATCTTTAATCTCTGTTTCAAGTTGACCAGCTTTCCAAGCTGTATAACCAACAATAAACAAACTATTTTTAGGACCGCGCCCAGTAACAATGTCCTGCGGTATTTTGGGATTAGAACTAACAGCTAAATGATTCTGAAATTTCAATAACAGGTTTTCATTATAATCATCAGAATGTAAAAAGAACCCACGTTCGTGCTCAACAGGTCCACCCAAATATATAGGGATTACAATATTATCATCTATTTGATTATTAGATATTTTAAAAAATGATTTTATATCTACATGATTCACCAAATGATTAAATATTAAACCCATTGCCCCTTCTGGTGTATGGGATAACATATAAATAAGTGATTTATTAAAAATACCATCAAGCATGTAAGGAGTAGCTATCAAAACCTTACCAGACAAATTATCAAAAATCTTATCATTTGTATTCATAATTATATCACATCTTGTATAAATTTTACTTTATCATATCTACTCTTTTTATTATTTGCAATAGATGCGACAGATCTTATTTTTTATACCATTTTTGATTTTCATTTTTCTCTTTTTTTTGATAATAATTTTAATTATCGAGTATAATATCTTTTTAAGATGTTAGTACTATTATTATAATAAAATTGTAAAGATGCAAATATTTAAAAATATTGGAAATATAATTTTGACTATTATTATATCACATAGTTGTTGTACATTTGCCAACTCTGAGATAATTAGCAATCCAATAATAGATAACCATGAAAGATATTTTACTCAATGTACAGAAGAGATTCCTAATAAA